TGTCTGTCTGTCTGTCTGTCTGTCTGTCAGCACCACGCAAACCCGTCCCAACCCCCACTCGGGCCGTGTGGGGGTGATAGTGGATGAGAGCCCCCTTCCTCCAGCTCTTCTCCCTCGACTTCTGCGATGTTGCCTTGGCGCCTCAGCCCTTCTCCCTTCTGAACCTCGCCTTCGTAAGCATTCTCAGCCATGTGAACTCGTTCAAACGCCAATTTGTGTAGGCAAAAGAACTGTCTGATATAAATATATATATATACACATATATATACATATATATGTGTGTTTGCCATCTCGAACTCTTGTCGCAGTATTTCTGCAATGCCGCTTCTGTGGCAGGCACCACAGCCATTCTTGCTCTCCTCACCCTAGCTTTGGTTAGGAGTCCGTGCCACCTAGATAATTGTGGTTGCTTGTTGAGTGTTTTGGTGGGTGTAGGACGGTTCTGCTCTCAATATTGGCCCCCTTCCCTATCCCCTTCCCCCAGGCCTTCCCCAAGCGCTCGCAGCTGGGCCTAGACACATTACAGGCGATAATGCAGCTGTCAATGTCAGGCCACCTGCAGCAGCTTCACCAACCCTTTTTTAACGCGCATCAATACCCCCCCCCTCCCCTTTTCCCCCTCCCCCCTCCTCACCCCACCCATTCCGTCCCCTTCCCACAGGCCTTCCCAAAGGGCTCGCAGCTGGGACTAGACGTATCGCAGGCGATAGTGCAGCTGACAATGTCAGGCGAGCTACAGAAGCTGCGGGAGAAACACTTCAGCGGGATCAACGGCTCCTGCACCCAACCCAGCAGCAGCAGCAGCGACAGCAGCAGCTATGGCATATCCTCCTCCTCCTCTTCTGGGATTTCCTCGCTGGCGGCAGACTCGGCAGTGCAGCTGTCAATGCAGAAGTTCCTCGGGCTCTACATCATATTTGGCTCCGTCTCGCTGGGCTGCTGCCTGCTCTACGTGTTGCTCCTCATCCACCGCGGCTACCGAGCCAGCAGGTACGGACGAGGTAGCAGGTATGGTCAAAAGTTTGCTGACTGGCACAGGCATCCCAATCCAAGCACGCCCTAGATCATCTTTGGCACAGTGTTGCTGGGGTACTGAGTGCTCTACGTGCTTCTCCTTATTCACCGCGGCTACCGAGCCAGCAGGTACGGAAGAGGCAGCAGGTACGTCTACACCACCAGTTGTGGATCTGCACGACGCCATCTCTGCGTCCATGGCTGCTATCCACTGAAAGGCCCACTGTCCGACACTGTCTCAGTGTAAGTACGAGGAGTCTGGATGTCTGGAGCGGTAGGGTCTTATGACTTGGATGAATATCTCTCTGGTACGAAAACTAGCAGTTCTTCTAGTTAAACCACCTGGCCTCAGGGGCTAGCAGCATGGCACAGAGATGGAGAGATGTGGCTGCAAGGAACTCCAACTCAATCTGCCTGTCCTCTAGGACGTCACATCCAAGGGCACATTCACCCCCAGCGGACAGAGGACGGGTTGGAGGAGCAGCCACAGGACTGGCATCAACATGACTTTTGAGGCGCCTCAAAAGCCAGTCTGGCAGCAGACTTAGCAGTGCAGCTGTCGATGCAGAAGTTCCTTGGGCTGTACATTGAGATGACTTTTAAGTCGGGATGACTTTTGAGTCGACTAAAAAGTCATAGAACATCTTTGGCACCGTGTTGCTGGGCTGTTGCTTGCTCTACGTGCTGCTCCTTATTCGCCGCGGCCACCGAGCCAGCAGGTATGGAAGAGGCACAGCAGCAGGTATGTATGGACAAGCCCCCCTCTCTCTATCCAAACATGCACAGTGATGTGATCCAACCAATAACCGTCCTTCAAGTGTGGCCGCCCTTCATGCACACTACCCCATTCTCCAAATACGCGTCCTTCATGCACACTACCCCATTCTCCAAATACGCGTCCTTCATGCACACTACCCCATTCTCCAACTACGGCTGTCCTTCATGCACACTACCCCATTCTCCAAATACGGCTGTCCTTCATGCACACTACCCCATTCTCCAATATGGCCGTCCTTCATGCACACTACCCCATTCTCCAAATACGGCCGTCCTTCATGCACACTACCCCATTCTCCAAATACGGCTGTCCTTCATGCATGCACACTACCCCATTCTCCAACTACGGCTGTCCTTCATGCATGCACACTACCCCATTCTCCAAATACGGCCGTCCTTCATGCACACTACCCCATTCTCCAAATACGGCCGTCCTTCATGCACACTACCCCATTCTCCAAACACTGCTGTCCTTCATGCATGCACACTACCCCATTCTCCAAATACGGCCGTCCTTCATGCACACTACCCCATTCTCCAACTACGGCTGTCCTTCATGCACACTACCCCATTCTCCAAATACGGCCGTCCTTCATGCACACTACCCCATTCTCCAAATACGGCCGTCCTTCATGCACACTACCCCATTCTCCAAATACGGCCGTCCTTCATGCACACTACCCCATTCTCCAAATACGGCCGTCCTTTGCAAACGGCCTTATCTTATGCACACGACCCCCTCCGCCCACCTTTTGAAACCTCCGCTCCCTTTCTTTCTTTCACTGCCCGGCTGCAGAGAGGCTGCTCGCCTACAGGACGCTCAGAACCAAGCTGAGATCCAACGGCTCGTGTTTGATTATCATCCGGTGCACACAGGATCTGACGGCCCAGATGGTGCCGAGTCGGGATGGGCAGCTCCAGCAGCGGGAGCGGCGTTGAGAGGCCACGAGTGGGGCGGAGGTAGCAACTGGGGTGGGGAGCATTTGGAAAGGGAAGACCCGTTTGTGTTTGGTCAAACTGCCCCTCTCAGTGGCAGGGGCAGCAGCAGCAGTGGAGAGAATTTTGAGGTGCTTCCAGCCAGCCATTTTAGCAAAGGAAGCAGCAGTGGAGGTTTTGAGACGACTCAAAATAGGGTTGGTGGGAGTAGTATCAGCAGTGGCAGAAGATTGGAGGAGATTCAGGGTAGCTTTGGCAAAACGAGCAGCAGCAGTAAGTGCAGTGGCGCTTGCGCTGCTGTGGGTGGGTCAAGCTTGACACAGGTTGTTGAGGAGGGAGAAGAGGCGGAGGAGGAGGATGAGGATGTAGATGAGGATGAGGAGGAGTTTAGGGAGAGAATAGTTACAAGAGGGGTTGCGATAGGAAAGAAGGAGGAGGAAGAGGAGGATGGGGAGAAAGAGATGAGAGGGGCTGAGATACGAGAGGATAAGGAGGAGGAAGAGGGGGAGGAGGATGGGGGGAAGGATGAGGAAATAAAGGGATTGCTTGGAGAGGCTGTTGTTTATGGCGATGGCGACAGCAGACCCAGTAGTAGGCACGGTAGCAGGCCTGGAAGCAGGTCCGGAAGGCCGGGGAGTACGTCTGGAAGCAGGATCGGAAGCAGGCCCGGGAGTAGGTCCGGAAGCAGGCCCGGGAGCAGGAGCAGCAGCCAAGGCGAGAGGTTTGGCAGTGGCCGGAGACTAACCATTCAGAGAACACTCTCTGCTGCTGCCAGGCTCTTGTACGGTAGTGCAGATGCTTATAGCGGGTCGGAATCGGAGGGCAACGAGGAGGTTCGTGTGCGTCGGTACAAGACACTCCCAAGGTTGTCAGAAAACGAGGGAAGTGCAGAGATGTCTGAACACAGGCAGGGGAAATTGGCTGTGAGAAGATGGGGAAGAGGGGGATGTGAAGCAGAGGGAGCAGAGGGGGTGAGCATCGTGAATATGTGGAGGAACAGAGAGGGAGGAGCAGGCGCATTTGAGCAGAGGCAGGGGGAATTGGAGGCAATGCGACTGCTGGAAGAGGAGAGGGTGGTAAGGTTTGATGTAGAGGCATGGAGGGCAGAGGGAGAGGGAGAGAAGAGGAGGGATGGAAGGGACGAGGGGATGAGTGCTAGCGAATGGAGCTGGGCAGTTATTTCTGGTGGTGGTGGTGCTGCTGCTACTGCTGCTGTTACTGGCGCTGATGGTGGTGGTGCTGCTGTTACTGACACTGCTGCCGCTGCTGCTGCCACTAGCACCCTTGGCGCTCCTGCATCTGCTGCTGCTGCTGCTGCTGCTGCTGCTGCTGCTGCTGCTGCTGCTGTCACTGGTGCTGCTGCTGTTGCTGCTATCACTGTAGCGGCTGCAGCAACATCAGGAACCCCGGTGGATATTATCAGCCAGCATACTTCGTCTATTAGCGCTCTCACTTCCCCTAAAGCAGACAGGTGCCAGTATCAGATGGATTTTGAGTCGACTCAAAAGTCACCTAGCACTCTCACTTCCCCTCGAACTGGCAGATGGCAGTACCAGATGGCCCGCAACAGACGATCAACGCAACACCGCCGCACTCCCTCTCTCCCTCACTCCCTCCCCCCTCTCTCCCCTCGTTCCCCCTCCAACATCTCCCCACACTTCCCCTCTCACTTTCTTCCCCACTCCCCGACTCAAACCCTTCTGTCCCCTGCCTCTCAACACCAACTTCAACACCCCCCCTCTCCATCAAACCCCCACGCAAGATCAGCATCTCAATCTGCCCCTCGCCTCGGTCCACACTCAGACCGCCTTGTTCCCAGCCGCTTGCCTTCCAGTTTTGAGACGTCTCAAAACCCCCACCCCATAACACCGTCTCAATCTGCCCCTCGCCTCGGTCCACACTCAGACCGCCTTGTTCCCAGCCGCTTGCCTTCCCCCCCCTCGCGCCTTGTCGAAATCTCCAGCCTCCAAGAGAGGCGAGCAGTGGCGTTGAGTCAGCTGCACCTGCCCCATCAGCAGCAGGAGGAGGCAGGCAGGAAGGCAGAGTCAAATATAGGGGCGGCGCATGGCAGGAGCCGTAGCAGCGAGGTGACTTTTGAGTCGACTCAGAAGGCAGAGTCAAATATAGGGGCGGCGCATGGCAGGAGCCGTAGCGGCGATTGTGCTTCCACAGAAGGGCAGGGCAGTGACCGGATGCTCTCAGCTTCCCATCCGTCCGCCTCCTTCGAGTCTCCGTCTCTGCCTGCCTCTCCCTCCGCTTCTCCCTCCGTCTCTCCCTCTGCCGGTCCCGCAGCAGCCGGTGCTTCGGCATCAGCTTCTGCCTCTCCCTGTGCCGCATCCCTCAACGAGTCTGGCTCCACTTCTGCTTCGCTCCTCCCTGTGCCGTCGTCGCTCCTCTCAGCATCAGCCTCTTACCGTGCCTCTGCAGCACCAGCTGCAGAGAAATCCCTGAGCACTGACCCCGGGTCAGCCTCTTCCCTTGCCGCTGGGCACACAGAACCTGAGTTAGACTCCCTCGGCAGGGGTGCGCGAGTTGACGCGGGAATCAAGTCGCTGAGCAAGAGCATGGGGGCTAACACGGGGTTCAGAGCGGTGACAACGTTGAGCAAATCGGTGGTGTCCGGTTCCCAGAAAGGGCTGCTGTCGCTTCACCAGACCGTCAACACCCTTGTTGATAAGTACAACAGGGGGCAGCAGTGGAGCAAGGACAGGAACATGGCAGGCAACCCACACACAGCACAATCCGCAGCAGCAGCACATGCAGCAGCACCAATTGCAGCAGGACAAGCGGCAGGACTAAGCGGGCGAAGAGGAGGCTTTTCCTCCTCCTCCTCCCGGGGTCCTATCCTCCTCTCTCCTGGGAAAAACAGGGCAGCTTTTGAGTTTACTGCGTCGAGCCAAGACCTGAGGAAAGCAGGAGGGAGAGCGCGGAAGAATCAGCAGTGGCAGCAGCAGCAGCAGCAGCAGCACCGCAGAACCTCCTCTGCTGAAGACCTGAACCTAATCCACGCCGCCAATCGCATCTCGCCACGTCAGCGCCTCGCTCGATCACCCGATGACCACTCGCCCTTGCACCTGTCACTCCGTGGTAGCTCCGAGCAGCAGCAGCAGCAGCAGAACCGCATCATCCCTCCACAGGCCTTCCCGCTTGTCCCCAAGCAGCAAAGCCCCGCCGCTCTTTCTCAACAGATGCATGCAGGAAGTCTGGTAAAAGGTTCTGGGGCAGATTTAGGTTCACACAGCAGCAAGCAGCAGAGCTCTGGTTCCGGGCCTAACAGAAGCGGCAGGAGCTGGAGAAGCAGCGCAGAGACAGCGAGGCAGCTGCGGGCAGCAGCGACAACAACTTCTGAGGCGCCTTCAAAAGTGTCTGGGTTTACCAGGGGTGGGAGGAGCTGGAGGAGCAATGCAGAGACAGTGCGGCAGCTGAGGATGGTGGGAGCGGAGGGCCGGCAGCAGCAGCACTTGGCGTGGAGCAGGAGGGGCCTCCAGGGCCAAGAGGCGCCTCACAGGCCGTGGCACATGAGATCGGCTTCGGGCGACGCTGCTTCTGCCCCAAACTTCTTTGACAGGTGCGTGAGCTGAACCTGAAACGCGAAACCGTAACCCGAAACGGCTTCTTAGGGCGTACCTCAGTTCGGGTCAGAGAAGCTCACTTTGGGTCATAGAAGCACTTTGGGTCATAGGACGACCAATAATATTCGAGCAGTGTAGCTGAAATGAGTCCTATTGGTCGTCCAAGCAACTCGGATGACCCAAACAGTGCCTAAGACCCGAAGTGAGATACGCCCTTACATCACCCACTTGAACAGATTTTGACAGAACCTGCACACTAGTTCCCTGTGGTTTGCCTGCCCCGTAATCGCCAACGGGCATGTGCCTTGAATTCACGGTCGAGCGTTCTGTTCTGGCTTCGTAACCAGTTACCCGTAACCAATCGCCCATCGAACTGTAGCCGTTATATTTGCCGTTCCAAGCGTTAATCCGTAAAGCACCCATCCACCCGTATTGGCACGTGCAGACTAGACGAGGGCACACGAGGAGCATCAGTCGCTGACCAGCTCAGAGAGCTTCTGGAGGCCGAGTCTGGTTCGAGCCAAGCAGAGAAGCGTGAGGGCAATGAGGCCGGGACAAGAGGGTCCGGGTCAGGAGGGACAGGAAGATCAGGAAACGGTGAATCTGGAGCGGAGGAGGACCCGGAGGAGCGGAAGCTGGTTCGAGTCGATGCCTTTGACTTGGCTTCGATCCTGAAATCCAGCAAGTGAATGCATGCTTCTGGAGGCAGAGTCTGGTCGGGTTCCTGTCAAATGGCGGGCAATGGGGTCAGGAGGACAAGAGCGCCTGGAGGGTTGAGAGGGTCTGGGGATGGAGAATCTGGAGGGGAGGGCCCAGAGGAGCGGAAGCTGGTTCGAGTCGATGCTTTTGACCTGGCTTCGATCCTGAAATCCAGCGAGTGAATGCATGCTTCTGAAGGCCGAGTCCAATTCCTCTCAAGTGGAGGGCAATGGGGTCGGGACAAGAGCGCCTGGAGGGTTGAGAGGGTCTGGGGATGGAGAATCTGGAGCGGAGAAGGACCCAGAGGAGCGGAAGCTGGTTCGAGTCGACGCTTTCGACCTAGCTTCGATCCTGAAATCCAGCGAGTGAATGCATGAGTTACCGGTAGTGAATCTGTACAAAGATGTATTTATATGCTTTAATCAAGTTATATATTTCAAACAGTACACATTCAGACAGTAATACCCCTCGGTAACTCCTGCACCACCACAGCACCGTGCCAGAGTGAGGTAGATGAGGTGGTATTATTGAGTGGTGGCTGGGCTAGAGTCAAACAGCCGAAGAGCAGCAACAGTTACTACATTCATCAGGCTCAGCTGCTCCGCCATACCTGCCAGCATTCGCTCCCTCTGCCATGAGAAATCGAGACGGACAGGGAAAGTCAAGGGGACGGAAGTGTGTTGCAGCGAGAGTGAGTGAGTCTGCTCGGCTGGTTGTAGGCAGATATACAGTGAAGGCGGACGGAAAAACTCGATGTGTGCAAACCGAGACAGACAAGCATCCTCGCTTCAAGATGACAAAACGAGGGGTCAGGTTGTGGGTCAGGATATAGCAGAACCAACCTGCCGAAGCTGGTGAGTCAGCTCAGGAGACAGCTCCGGCATCGAAGCTGCAGGATCGGCAGATGCAGCAGTGGCTCCGAACCAAGAGGACCAGAGAGTAGTCACACCAACAGCACCTCCAGTGCCCTCTCCTTCCTCCTCCTCCTCATCATCCTCCCCTGCATCTGCTCCTTTGCCTCCTAATTTGCCACTCATTGCACCACCAGCAGTACCAGCAGCACCAGCAAAACCACCACTGCCACCGCCACCACCACCGCTAGCAGCAGCAGAAGAAGAAGTGAGAGTGGAAGGAGGGTTCATTGGCATGGCTTGGCGTTGAAAGGAGAGATGATGCAGGGCGAGAGAGAACCAGTCCATTGACTCAAAGGCAAGGCGCTGATTTGCCACCTGGAAGCATGGACAAAACAAACACAGGAGACGGGGCAATGAGTGCGAACAGCAGGTGAACGGGACCACTCACTTCAGACCAATTACACATCACACCCCGTCTCACCCTCATACTAGCCACTCAGCGGATTCACCTCGCGTCGCACCCTCATACCAAACAGCTCTGCAGCTTTTTCAAGAACTCTTAAAAGACCATTTAGCACCACTCTTTTGCACCTCACCCTCATTCGAAACATCCCAGCAGCCTAAAAACAATCACCCTTTCTATTTACTGTAAACAAAAATGTGACCAGAAGAGCTGGTAACGTACCATCATCGGCGTTCTTTCTGCTCAGGATGACAACTGGCTGCCCAATGAACAGGTAACGTACCATCATCCTGTAACGTACCGTGAGCAGGAAAGCCACTCCCAGTGTGAATCCATCATCAGGCATCCAGTCGTCATCCTGTGCCTCCCATGCTCCCTCCTCACCCTCTCCTCCTCTCTCCCATCCTCGCCCTCCCTCACTCCCACCAGACCCACCACCAACCCTGCGTTCCCCCACACGGCCGTCCCTGCCACCCCCCGCCACTGCATCTGCCAGCCTCTGCTGCGCTAGCTGCTTTTTCGACGCCAGCAGCAGGGAGAGCGGGGGAATGGCAGCAGGGAGCGTGAGGAAGGGGCGATGAGGCGAGGCTTGAAGCTCCTGAGAGGGATGGGAGGGGGTGTGAAAAGAAGGGTATTTGAGTCGACGCAGAAAGTACCCGACACGGCCGTCCCTCCCACCACCCGCCACTGCATCTGCCAGCCTCTGCTGCGCTAGTTGTTTCTTGGACGCCAGCAGCAGGGAGAGCGGCGGAATGGCGGCTGGGAGCGGGAGGAAGGGGCGATGAGGAGGAGGAGGAGGTGGGGGGCCGGGCAAGGAAGAGCATGAGGGAAAGACGAGCAAGTGAATAAGCCACTGGTGGTGCTGGTAGGGTGGGTGCTTGCCTTTTGAAGAATAAAAACCGAACAGGTGTTCGCCCTCCTCCTCTGATGGTTCAGAGGCATGGGGTGAGTTTGTGCTGCTGGGGAAAGCTTGAGTTGACAGAATAAAAATGGGTGCGTACCCTTTGAAAGAGGTTCACGAGAAGATGGAGTAGTGGCACGGGTTGAGTGTGCGTGGCTGGGCGGAGGGAGTTGGAGAGCGAGGAGAGGAGGAGAAGAGGTTGGTGGGAGAGAGGCGAGGCGAGGAGGAGGCGGTGGAGGGGTGACCCTGCAGCGTGGGAGGGCAGGGCGCTGGAGTGGGAGGGGTGGGGAAGGAGGGAACAGGAGAGGGAGGAGAAGGACAAATTACAGCCCGTGTGATGGACGGATGGATACTCACTGCTGAGAGAGCAATGCAACAGATTTGGATAGGGTGTTCCCAGCCAGCAGTCCAATCCAAGCCTGCAGGATTCTCTGCTGCACATACCTGAGCAGCACTCCGTTCTGTTGCTCTCACCTGAGAGTGTGCTCCGCACTGTGGGATGCAGCTGTAGCAGCAGCCAGCACAAACCCAAGAGCCACCCCCAGCTCCCTCACCTCTTCCACCACCACCTCCCCCCACGGCCGCCTCTCTGCCTCCCCCCTCCCTTTTCCACTCTTCTCATCTATCCTCTTCCCTGCAACCCTATCTCCTGCTGATGCTGCAGTCGCTGCTGATGAGGACGATGTGGGGACAGCAGATGTGTGGTGGGTTTTGGCATTCGGGGCGGGCTTGGCTGCCCGCCAATCAGGGTCCACTGAAATCTCCTGGAGTTTCTGTTGGAGGTGAGAGGGGCAGAGCACAGGCAGTTAAGAGAGAAGAGAGGGGGGGGAACCGGGGGGTTGGGGGTACATGGAGCCTTTATGGGCACGCCCCCACACGTGCACACACACACGCATACACACGCTTTCTCACTCGCTCACACGAACGCACACCCACACACAAATGCGAGTTGGGGTGGTGCGATTTAAATTAAACGCTCGGAAGCAACTGTGAGTTGAATCGAGAATGGGAACCGTGAAAAGGAGTGATGCAATTGGATTGCTCACATTCTTAAGCTCGTCTACCCCCTCCATTGTCAACGCCCTGCCAGCAGCAGCAACTGGAGTGGAGCCGCCACCACCACCCGGACTAGTACCAGCAGCAGCAATGTTGGCAGGACCAGCCACTCCGAGTGAGCCAGCCAGGCCAGTAGCTTGACTTTCCTGCTGTTGTTTTCCTTGCTGCTGCAACTGCTGCTGTTGCTGTTGCTGTATTTGCTTCATCGACTGCAGCAGCAGCGAGTGCGCTCTGTCATGCAGGAACAACCGAGACAGGTGAGACAGCTTCCCCGCAACCAGCTTGCACGCTGACGTGGCGGCGTGCTGGAGGAACAGCATGGCATGCGTGGATTGGAGGAGAGAGGACAGCTGGCGCAGCGTGAGCGACCGAGGCCCGTGCGAGGAGGAGAACGCCGGTGATGAGTCAGCATGGCAGGTGGAGAGGGTGGGCAAAGAAGGTTCGTGGAAGCTGGAAAGACTGGAGGGCCGTTGGTGGAAGGTCAGGGTGGAAAGGTCGAAAGAAAAGGCAGAGACGAAGAAGGGGAGATTAGCAGCGAGAGAGGGAGGGTGGAGGAGTGAGAAGGGCAGGGCAGGAGAGGAAGTGGAGGAGGGGGAAGTAGGGGGGCTGTGGAGTCTGAATGCTAGGCCTCCTCCTATTGCGATTGGGGGCAGAAGCAGGCGATATTTGCTCGCAGCCAACTGCCTCACGTCCTCGCTCAGCTGTGGTAATACCATGAGGCAGGCAGGGGGAGAAAGAAAAAGGACCCAGACCCTCCGATTGATTAACGGAGTGACAGAGAGGGGGGAATTTGGACAATCCAAACAGCCATTGCATAAGTCAGCTAAGGAAGGAAGGGGAGGCGGGTTAAAGAGATCGTATTTGGCAATTATCAATCATACGGACCTTCCAGTTGGCAGGAGCGGCTGCAGTGTGATTATAAAGAGAGGTCTCCAGTGCTTGTGCCACGTGTGCTTGTATGTCAATCTGCCTGGAGAGCAGGCGGATTGGTGGCAGCTGCAGGTACTGTAGCAGGTTGCGCACTCCCGTCTGACAGGTACATTGAGAGGGGGAGGAGCAAATATTGAAAAAAAATATGAAAAAAAAAAAAAAAAAGTAGAGGGAAGGATGAATTGAGTGTGGAGAAGGGGACTGAGCAAGTTTAGAGACATCTGGAGGAAGAATGGTGAAAGAGAGTGTGTGGGGAGGGATAACGAAAAAGGTGGGGTGAGGGCAGTTGAGGTGGGTGGGAAACGGAGGTGATGAGATGCGTGTGATCGATGGAAGGTACCTTGCCAGGATTGAAGCGCGGATTGGTGAAGTGCAAATTTGTGTGGGAGATGGCATGCACATAGAGGCCCGCAATGATGCTTTGAGTGAGGGCAATTGAAGTGTGGTGGGGTAAAGTGAAGGAGGGTACCTTGCGGGGGTTCAAGCGCGGATTGGCGGAGTGCAAATCGGAGTGGGAAATGGCGTGTAGATGGAGGTCGGCGATAATGTCTCGAGTAAGCGGCCGCAGGAATGACTGCCAGGGGGATGGAACGAAAGGGTAAGGTGTGGTGCAGGGGGGCAGAAAAGGGAAAAGGAGGGAATGAGATGGCGTGTAGATGGAGGTCTGCGATGACGTCTCAAGTCAGAGACAGCAGGAACGACTGCAGACAGGATGGGGAGTCACGTCTCCCCACGAGATGTCCCAGTTGCCACTCATTTGGCTTACCTTCAGACTATGAGGCGGCTGTGAAAACTCCTATTCACCTAAACAAATGCAGCCTCCAGTTTCTCCGCACTGTAAATGTCACCCCACGAGACGCTCCAGTTGCCACTCTTTTGGCTGGCCTCTATGAACTCTGGTCAGTCAAAAGAGTGGCAACTGGAGCGTCTCGTGGGGTGACATTTAATGCTTTCAAATTCTGGCTGTAAAAACTCCCCTTCACCTGAACTAATGCAGCCTCAAGTTGACTCTCCACACTGTAAATGTCACCCCGCAAGACGGTTCGGCTGCTGCTCCTTCTCCCCGTATGCTCTTTTGGCTGCTTTCCGTGCCGTTCCTGCATACACGGCTGCAGGAGCAACCGGGCCCCATCCAAGAAAGCGTCTATGAGGTACCTGAGAGGTGGTTCACAGCAGGTTACAGCGGGAGGGCGAGTTCCAAAAAGCATTTTTAAATACCAAAAAAAAATATAAAAGAATCATCCAAGAAGGCGTCTACTAGGTATCTGAGCTAGGTGGTCCACAGCAGTAGGATTGGTGAGATGGGTAGGGTGGCTCACTCAGTCGGATGAGTGAGGTTCATTGCCAAATGCAGAGGCAGGGAGCTGCACAGAGGGGCAGCAGTGAAAAACGCTAAAGCACATGGTGGGGTGGGGTAGAATTACTGGAGAGAGCTGGGTTGGATGAGCGGCTGAGAGTAGAGAGCGGCAAGCGCAGGGGCAAGGAGATGAGGCCGCGAGGAGAGGAAGTAGCAGGCAGTGGTGGTGGAAGGGGAGGAGGAGGAGGAAGAGGATGAGAGGGAAGGGAGGAGTGTGGAGAAGTGGAGTTGAGTGAGTAGAAGCTGGCAGGATGGGACGGGGGCGACCTGCAAATGCAAGGAAGGGACCAAGGGGATGGGGAAGTGGGGAAGGGAGTTGATACGCGGAATTGGCGAAAGCAAGGGGATGGTGGAAGGGTGGCGTGGGGTTTGGGCGGGGTGGGGACGAGGAGGGTTGGAAGAGGGAAGGAAGGAAAAAATCCGGAAGAGGTGATGTGGTCGAAGCAAGAGGCGAACAAACTGGAAGTGGCGATACCAATACGTCATTGTGAAACGAGTGAATGCTGGGGCAGGGGACTGGAGGGAAATGGCAGAGGCTGGAAACGGTTGACCTGGTGATGTATTGAAAGTGTAACGAGGTGGTTTACAAGGAAAGCCTTACAAGGGGGCTTACAATGGGAGGGATAAGGGAGCAAGCAGTCGAGAGAAAGGAGAGGAGGTGATCTGATGGCAGCTGATGCCACGTCAGCTGAAGCATGCTGGTAAGCTGGACGGTAGGGATGGTGAGAGGGGTGACGAAGGGACCATGAGATGGGGTGTGACATGCAACAAGAGGCACGGGCACAGGCAAGGGGCGTACCATGTATAATATTCAACGAGAAGGACTGCTCGACGGGCATGGGGCGTGAGGAGTGAAAGGGCACGCAAGCAGTGGCGAAGAGGGGTTCGGTGAGTTGGTAAGTAAGAAGCAGTGTTGGGGTTGGGGCGGTGGGACGGAGCTCACAGGAAGACATGATATGCAAGGGGTGTTGGGTGGGGTGCAGTGGGGTGGTGGGGCAGGGGTGATAGGAAGGGATGACCCGAAGGAGTGACAGAAAGCGGTGAGAGGCAAGGGGCTTACAGTGGCAATGGAGTTGAGGAGCTTCTTGTGCGTATCCATGGCAGCTGCAGTAGCACAGCAGCATAGTGGCACATGTGGGCTGATGAATCAGTGTGTTGTTGCACAACAAAGGAACAACAACCGGCACAACAAAGAGCACAATTAACGACAGCAAATGCCTCTGAACATGGCTAAGGGGTTCTCGTTGCGATTCGCTACAAAGCTACGTCATGACATGGCATGACATGCCATGCATGCCATGGTATGGTACATATGACGTGCATGGCCCGTATGGCATGGCTTGTATATGGTATGCCATGCAGCCCTCCACTCACCCCTGTTGCTCCACGGGAAGAGAGAGCCAGCTGGCAGGGGCGCTGAAGCAAGCAGAGCAGCAACCGACGATGAGGACTGGCCTGCTACCTCGCCCCCCACACCATCCCCTCCTCTCCCCATCCCCTCGCTCCCTCCTCCTGCGTCTCCTGGTGGGTGTGCCTGGGAGGGAGGCGGCCGGGGTAGCTTCGCTAGCTGATCCATCTGGTGTGGTTTCACAACGGGGTGACGAAATATGACGGGGGGGAAGGGGGAGGGGGGAAGACGGTGATTGGGAGGGAACGAGTGGGGTGAGAGGGCAGTAGGGAACAAGTGAGAGAGAGAAATATGGGAGAAGAAGGGGAGAGAGGGGGCACACAATTTATGTGGTGGAGGCTAGAGGTAGTACAGCAGAGAGTCAGAGACTATTGTTGCTGTCAAGATGCTGCAACTGGCTGAAAGAAAACAAGGGCACCTGAAAAAAACACCTGAGAAGAGCCTGAAAGCACCTGAAGAGGCAGCAAGGCTGCGTTGAGCTGTCGCAGCAGGTGCTGCTGGTACAGAGGTAGGTGGAGAGAGAGAGAGGGGAGGCACGCTGCCAGAGCCGACTCCACTTGCTGGCGTGAGGGGAACAGGAGCAGAACAGGGAAAATAAAACGGGGGGAGGAGGAGGGGAGGGGTGAAAATGGAGGGGGGGCAGGTGGGGTGTGGAGGAAAAAGAAAACAGGGAGAATTTAACTTCACGGGCAGACAATGATGGACATTTTCACAGCATTGAAATAAAAACTTGTGAAGCTTGACCTGACTCGTTTTAGCATCAGAAGTCACACGTCAGGACTAGAGAGGAATGACTAGATTCACCTTGATCGCTTGCAGCACTGCAGCCACGAGCACAATCTGACGCCTCTTGAGCGACACCTACCATGACAACGGCAGACAGACAGCATAAGACAGGAAAACACACGCTCTAAAAATCATTCCGGTCAGTGCAAGGAAGGGGATGCAGGTGCAGGACATGGAATCTGTACACCTTGTGTGGGTTTATAGGTCTCCTCTGAATATTGAGGAGTGGCTCACTTTGCTCGTAATGCTACAAGCAACCGGTCTCGTGAAGCTCACTCACCCGCAGGCTGGCGTGCAGATCAAGCAGAGTCTGGACCTGATGCCTCGCGTTGCAGGTGATGGCAAGAGTCTGCACGTCACGTAACATGCAAAAAGGGTAACTTCTGATTTTTCACTAGAAATCCACTTTGCATCCACTTTGCATGCCATGTGACCTGCCATGTGCGGCAGGTGTGACCTGACTGACACACATGAGACGAGAGGAGGTAACGTGTCTCCTTTGAAAATTGTGGGATAAGAAACGACGTGTCTCGAATAGACCGGCCTTGACTCCTTGCCTCATCCTTCCTGCCTGCTGCCTACTTCCTGCTTCCCTACCACCCCACACCACCCCACACCACACCACACCTGCATGCAATGTCCTCTATATAAAACCCCCCACCTCCTGCACCAGCTTCACTTGACTCCCCATCGCCTCCTCCAACGACTCGCACTGCAAAGACAGGCTGAGGGGGAGCCTGAGAGCTGCAGAGAGTGAGGCGGCCAGGGGAGGGAAGGCCGAGGCGAGCCTGGTATGTGTGGGGGTACGGGGAGCGGAAGAGAGGGAATTCTGATTCAAATGTTGCAACAACAGGCTGAGAGGGGGAGCCTGAAGGCTGCGGAGAGGAGTGAGGCAGCCAGGGGAGGGAAGGTGGCTATAGCAAGGCAGGCAAGACACACACCTGGGCAGGTCCTCGTTGGCTAGATCCAGTGCTCCTCTCACCACGTCCTCACACACCTCCCTCACTCCACGCGCACTCCCTCCCCCGTTCCCCTTCCCCTCCGCAGTCGCCTTCCCCCCTTTCACCTCCCCCTTTCCCCCTGCCCTTTTCGCTCCTGCTTTCCCCCCGCCCTTGCTCTCCTCCAGGGCAGAGAAGGGCGCAGGGGAAACCGCCAGCAGGGCAGGGGGCAGGTGGAGAGCGAGGAGAAGGGGGAGAGAAGCGGAGAGGGGGAGGGGTCCGGCCAGAGGTAGCAGAGGATGCAGCTTGACTGCTTCGAAGAGGCTCGGGGTGGCCTTTATGAGTTGCTTCTCATATCCCAATGCTGCCACAAGAACGAGAGAGGTGAATAATAAGGGTGAGGGTCGTTCTTGAGTGGACTTAGAAGTCGATATTAAGGGAGAGAATACATGTATATAGAGCGACTTCTAAGTCCACTCAAGAACGACCCTCTTGAGTGGTCATCTCACCTGCTATGGGTGCGAGTGAGAGGAAGAGAGCGATGCAGCCAGCTAAGTGGCGGCGCGTGTTGTGCTGCTCAGAGTGACTGGCTGGTAGTGCGATTGACATGGTGGGCGGAGACAGGAAGGAAGAACCGGAAAAGGGGGGTGAGAATGAGAAGGATAAGGGGAGGAATGGGTAAATGACGAAGAGCACGAACTGACGGCATGGAGTGCAGAGCTGGCAGAGGAGTTGGAAGAGCCACCAGCAACGTGTGAGGCATCTCAAAAGTCAAGCAGACCAGAACGCACCAATGGCATTTTGTGCGGAATCAGCAAGAAACCGAGATGAGCCACCATCTACTTTCGAGACATCTCAGACCCTCAGTCAGAAAGTACTTACCAATGGCATGGAGCGCAGAATCAGCAAAGGCGTTCAAATGAGCCACCAGCGGCAGCAGCCACTTCTGCTGCTGCCGCCACAGCGCCCTGCCACTCAGCAGTGGCCGCCCCGCACTAGCCTTCGCCCTGCCCCCCTTTCCTGGCTTTGTGCCCCTTGCAGCAGCAGAGAGCGGTGGTGCGGCAGGGCCCACCGCCCAGGCTACACTCTCCTTCCAACTCTGGAGAACGTCAGGTGGGTTGGGTATGGAGATTAGGGATGGAGATTGGGGACAGGACTTGGGGATGGGCAGAATTTGGAAAGAGGAGAGTCTGGTACTGCACACAGGGGAGTAAAAAGAAAGCAAGGAAGAAGAGAAGGGAAGAGAGACGGACAAACGGAAGAGAGGAGAGGATGAAAAAGAGGAGGAGGAGACCTACCTACCTGGAAGAAGGTCACCTGCTGGCCTTGCGGCGCTATTGCTGCTTCGAGCATCATCAGCAGCCCCTGAAGCTCTGAGGTCACTGTTAAGTCGACCGTCGACTCAAAAAAGAGAAGGAACGTGAGAAGCCTACCTGGAAGAAGGTTCCTTGCTGGCCTTGCGGCCCTATTGCTGCCTCCAGCATCATCAGCAGCCCCTGAAGCTCCGCCAGAGACAACTCGAACTCTTCACTTTGCCCTCTGCTGCCTCTCCCTCCCTTCCTCTGGTACCGCTTTGCACCGCTGCGCACCGTGGAGTATGCCTCCATGTTGCAGCGCACTGCCTGAAGCATTCTGAGAGGCGGAAGGCCGTTGGAAGAAGCCGAGTGAGGGAGAGCGGAGAGGAGTGGACAGGAGAGGACAAAACAGTACGGGGCAGGATGGAAGAACGGATAGAGCATGATGGGCGATTCAATATACCGTATCCGAAGGGTGTGGATGTGGAAGAGCGGGTGCATGGAGAGGGAATGGACGTGAGGGATGGACCAAGGCATTGACAGAAGTCAAGAAAAATCAGCGTCTGTGTGCGAATCCCACCACCACACACCTGTTGTAAGCAGCAATCCCCCGGGCAACAGCAGGGTTGGCAGCAAGTGCTGAGTCAATCACCAAGAGCACAGCCGCCCCTGCTGCGAGCGCGTCTAGTGCCGGCTGAGAAGGTGGCAAGACGGATGGGGTTAGCAGACAGGGGTACCATAGGTTAGAACGCAAAAACGAGCAGAGAAGGGTTGGCATCAAGTGCAGATTCGATTAACAAGAGCACAGGCGCCCCTGCAGCCTGCCCATCAGTAGGTAGGAGTAGGTGGGGAAAACAACTGTGATTCCTTAGGTGCAGTGCAGGAATGAGTAGGTGGAACAGAGGCTAACTTGTTTCAGTCGGCAAGTGCTATACAGGACTGCATCAAGACGCACTGTAAAGTACTCGGTTGATTTGAACCAATCAGAACGAAGCAACTCCTGAAGCAACTCATCCGTCTCTTCCTCGCCCAATCCGCCTGCCAACCCTCCATCCCACCCTGCGCCCCTCCCATCCTCCCCATTAACCAGCGCCACGAGCAGCACTAACAGCACCAGCGCCTGTAGATCTACAGATCTACCAACATACTTACTGTGAAATACTCTGTCGATTTGAACCAGTCAGATCGAAGCAACTCCTGCAGACCCTCATCCGCATCCCCCTCGCCCAATCCTCCTCCTGCCAATCCTCCATCCCACCCTGCGCCCCTCCCCTCCTCCCCTCCAAGCAACGCCACCAGCAGCACGAGAAGCTCCTCCATAGTGGCAGTGAGGTCTTTCCCCACCAGCACCAGCGCCTGTAGATCTACTAATACGCGCGCCACTCGCTGCTGCTCCTCCCCTTCCACCCCTCCTGCTCCCTCCTCTCTCGCTCCCACTATACCCTCCTCTCCCGCTCCGACTATTCCCTCCTTTCCCCCTTCCTCTCTTTCCTCCTCCTCCACTGCACTCCCGTCTACCCAGTCCGCTTCTTCAGCCTTCCCCAATGAATCATTTTCCTCGCATTTTTCCGGCATCTCCTCGGATCTATCCCGCTCCCCCTCGCCGCTATCACCTTCAGTTCTGTCACTCCTGCTTGTACCACCCTCACCTCTCGTCTCAGCTAGTCCTCCCATTCCACTATCCTCCTCCTCTCCCCCTACCCCTCGACTTGATCTCCCTTCGTCCCCACCTCTCTCTTGACTCTCCTCCGATCCACTGTCTCCATCCCCTCCCTCTGGCTCCCCCCTATCCTCCCACTCTCCCCTGTTCTCCCTATTCCCCCCGTCACTATCACCAGCTTCACCCGCATTGGAGGAAGAGAAGGCAGAGGAGGAGGAGGTAGCACTGGCGGGGATGATGGCTTGGGACTTGCCAAAGAGCAGCAGGCGAGGCAGCAACCGATGCAAGACCTGCAGTGAATGAGGTAAAACGGGAGCAACGGGAAGGGAGGATAGGAAGGAAGGAGGGATGGGAAGGAGAAAGCGATACGGGGGAGGAAGTGAATGAGGCGAGCAGGTGAGGTGAGGGAGCAAATAGAAATGAGAAGAACAAGGAGTGAACGAAAAGCACACGTCCCACATACATACCCCCCACCACACATCTTCACACCTGTAACACACACAGACCCTCAAACACACACACACACACACACACACACACACACACACACACACACACACATACACACACGCACATGCGCACGCGCGCGCACGTGCCCACACACAGACCTCCTGTTCTGCATCGTATATGGCACAGCATTTGGACGAGATGTGCTGAATGAGCAGATTCAACGAATCCGGCGATACTCGTGTCGACCCCTCTGCTCCTGCTGCTGCTTCTGCTGCTGCTTCTGCTGCGGGTGCTGCTGCTGCCGAGTCCACTACAGAAGCCGCAGTGGATGCAGCAGCAGGATTCCCTCCGCCCCATGGCTCTGCAGATACGCCAATCACGTCGTGCCAGCTGTCCAATTCACAAGCTGACTGGCTCCGAGCCTGAAACTGGACATTGGGCAAGTGTCGGACGGGTTGAACCCAAGGATAAATTTGGAATGAATTGGAATTTTTATTACATGGAGCAACTGATTAAGGAAGACTGATTGTGTTATTGCGAAAAGCAGTGGTGTGAGACGATGCGAGCTGATACAGTGACACACTGATAAGGATACACAGGGATTCATAGTGACAGGAATTGGCAGGGAAACACCAGACGCGGAATCAGATGTGGTTAGAGAAAACGGAGATGCATTGACGAAGACAAGACATACGCATGGAAGGTGTGCAGATACGTAAAGGAGGAGGTGCACAAGCCAGTGTGCGTATAGCGGGTGTGCAAATACCTGGTAAGCTAATTCCGACACGCGAGAATCCCAATCGTCCACGCATCGGCGAAAGTTCTCATGATGCTGCTCCACGGCTGCTGCTGACGGGAATGATGCAGCTGATGGAGCCATGTCCGGTTACGCCTAGCACGTCCTTAATTTCTACCTGCCGACGCATGTACAGCCGTGCTTATCGGCGTTGGTTAATCGCAAAACTACTCATCCACCCACTCTGATCATTCGTGTACGAGGGAGGCTACATGCGTCAGAGGTGAAACGAATTCTTCCACTGTGTGTGGCCGAGCACTGATACAGTCAGGAAATTGCCGAAGATAGAACTGGGAGTCCCTAGGTGAGAATTCATTCCAGGCTGTATTCATTACTTTGTCTGTACCTGTTTTTGTGCCTTTGTATCAGGCGATTCTGCTGGACACAGTATCAGTTCCATTATCACTTCCGCCAATTTTATGTAATAATTTACAGGAAACGTTTTCTGAGCGTTCAATGAATGATATTATCTCTGATATAGGCTATAAGTTGCATGTGTATGCTGTAAGCTGGTTTATGTACAGTACATGTGAGCGTTGACCACGGCGGATGAACGGGTTTCCCATCTCCCGCCGGTCCAGATTTCGCCACACCAATTTACTGTTCAACGACATTGAGCGATGCGAGATTTGGAACCTCTGCCCAGTCAGGCTGAACATTCGAACCGCAGATTAGGTGAACATTTTGATCCCAACTTCGCATTCCCGCTTGTCATCGTTGACGTTCCATTTGTCACATGTGACCGACCGCAACAGGTTGTGTGGCTCTCACTCGCACCCTTCACTTCCACTCCACAGCCAGAAACGGCTTTGTATCCAAGGTAGGCCCACATGGTCGACTCCACACTGAAAGCTTTATTACTTCGACATAAATCCGGCTTTCTTATTTATGTCACATACTTTGCCAGGTCAAGCGCGTAGAAACTAAACGTCGTGTGTGTCAGTCATCCCGAGAGCACAGCGTATAGTCATGGCACCTCGCCTTCATGCGCACAATTCACGTCACTTCTCGCTACTGGTCCGCGTTGCCGGAGCTCCCTACCTTAGGGCAGCGATAGTTACAGCATTAGTAGTAGGCCACTTCGTTCTTCTGCCTCATCAATCCGAAGCAGCCGTGATAGAACCCTCCCAACAAGACGCGCTTCTGGCGATAAAATCCGAATGGGGCGAATTCGACGGCTCAGATTCGTGGATCTCGGGAGCGGACTGTTTCAAGTGGACAGGCATCAGCTGCACCCGCAACGGCGACGTCAACGGCGTGATGCTCATTTCGTCACGTGTTACCGGAACGATTTCGCCAAACTTCGGCGACCTATCGGCCCTCGAGAGCCTCACGCTCGTGGGGAACAATCTGACTGGCTCGCTTCCTGACGAGATCAGCAACCTCCGCTTTTTACGGGAGCTTTACATTTCGGGAAACGGAGAGGGACTATAAGGACCTCTCCCGGAGTCAGTCACGGCGCTCACAGATCTATCCATTCTTATCTTCTCGGACAACCAGCTGACCGGCAACGTTCCGCGCGGGATTGGCGAGCTCACGAACCTGGTAACCCTTTCTTTGAGCGAAAACAGGCTCACGGGTCCGATTCCTCGTGAGATTTCGACATTGCATCGGCTGACGTGGCTAGACCTTGCCTCGAACCGCCTGGAAGGAGCCATCCCGCCGCAACTCGCGTCGCTGCGTTCCCTCGTGGAGCTTTCGCTGGAATCGAATCGCCTTTCGGGATCCATACCTTCCAGCTTCGACAAATTTCGCGTACTTCGCACGCTTCGCCTGGGACACAATGTCCTCTCGGGTGACCTCCCTTTCAGCGTGATTAGCTCCATGCGGCGGCTGGAAGTGCTTGACCTTCATCGCAACTCGCTATACGAGTCTTCGTTAGCGCCACTAGCGGTGCACCCTTCGCTACAGTACATCGATGTCAGCTGGAATAAAATATCCGGCAGCTTCCCAGCGGAGTTCGGGCAGATGAAGAACCTGACGGGGCTGAATCTTGCAGGCAACGCGTTGCAGGGGAAAATCCCAAGAGACCTTCTTGGCACGGGGTCTGCTCTAAACTACCTCAATCTGGCTTATAACGGATTCACCGGGATCTTCCCGTGGACGGCGCTACGCGGCATGGAGAACCTCGATAGTATCACGCTCAGCCACAATCGATTTGTGGGGATCGTGCCTCGCGATGCCCTGCTCAACGTCCCTCTGAGCTTCCTCAACATCTCCCACAATTTCTTCTCGGGCAGGTTGCCGGACCTCGCCCGCCCAAACCAGGATTTTGCAGCTGATTTCCGAGGGAATTTCTTCTACGGGAGTGGGGAGGTGCTGGTGGGAGATGAGCCGATTTGCCCAGTTGAATCTCCCAATCATTACACGCCAAGTGGCACATCCTTGGATTTGCCGACCACAAAGTTATTAGCCTCCTGGAACTGCCTTGCTTCAGGCGATCAGGTCTGCCCTATGAAGTCTGTGCACCGTGCTGAGCTCTGCAGCACGTTCTGTGGCACAAATGCCACCAACGCTCCTTGCTCGGGACATGGCGTGTGCGTCCCAGCAACCACTTTAGAGGATTATGAATCGGGAACGCAACCGGATTCTGGATCGGCATCGGAGGAGTATCCCCAGTTTGAGTGCCTGTGCTTCAGGGGGTACCAGCTGGCTGAGGGTAGCAGGCATGAGTGTGTGCCAATGGCCGCAGACATGAGGACAAGGAGACGGCCAGCCGGTCTCAGATTCACGGGAGAGAGAGGGTATGGTAGGCATCAGTAGCCCCGGTTGCTTTGCTAGTGCTTGTTCAACTCTTTAGGAACGTGGCAGTGCATTGGGTTCACTAACATTATAACATACTTGATATTGCTAATCTAGTAACTGTCCCCCCTCGTTGACATCACACACTCAGATTGGCAAGTTACTTGATCGGGCATTGAAGAGTCAGAGCTGGTGGTAGATAGTGCGCTGACAACCAGCCCTTCTGATCGATTAAGCAATTACAGGCTGCACGTTGGTATGCATAAGGATGTGAGTCGGAGAGTGCATACGAAGTAATGGAACATCAACAAATAATGGTAATGAAAACTGTTCTGAACGTTAATGCCTAATCACATCAACTGTGCCGTGCTATCTCCTGGAAGCAGGGCACTGCAACGTGCGTGCAACAAATGGTTTTGTGTACGAGTAACTTCAAAAACCGAGAATGCGGTGTCACGGCGAATATATGTCTATGACATACGTTAAAAGTATACCTCCTTTTCGTGCCAGTACATTGGATTGGATAATAATATGAGAACTACTATAATCAAGTTATATTTGTTGCAAATCGTGTACGCCATCTTTCCCGTAAATTACGGTTTATTACATCATATCCCCACCCCCCACAGTCCGCTGGTCTGGTGGAACAAAAGTGCGCTGCGTCATCAAAGCTTTCTGCTTACGTGTCCCCTTACTCAGAATACGTACCTCCGAGCTACCAAACTGCAATCTCTTGCTGACGTGTTCTCCGAATCCCGATGTGCGATCGTTGTGGGCGGAAGCCGTGAGGAGAACCGTGCCACATCTCTCCAACCTCACCAGGTCTGGTTCGGAACCAGGGCTGTCGCTTGGTCAGAAGATTCTTCCATACCCTTCATATTGTAGGCTATTCTTTAACAGCAGGTGTATAATACCGGGTACAAGTACGTGATGGGCAAGTTTATAAACGACTCCGTTATACAAAGGTTCAATTGTCGGGAACCAGGCTATAACGAGGTATTTTAATGACGGTGCTCGTCGGCATTCGAAAACCTTACACCCTTCAGATCGATATTATTTTGAAAATTGTCCTCTCTCAGGGATTTCCCACTCTTCAGTGACGTATTTGTGGAGTACTTAACGAAGCGAGTTTCATAGGTTCGTGGATCAGGCACGGTGGTGCATGCAGCAGAATCACAGCCAGGCACCTTAGAGTCGGGGGGCTATGATTCGAGAAGGATGTGTCATTTAACGGGTACAAGTTCGTGACGGGTAATCTTCTAAACGACTCCGCTGTACGAAGGCTCTCCTGTCAGAAGCAAGGCTATAACGAGGTATTCTAAGGACGTGTTGCAGTTGCCGGTGCACTGCATCGGCTCGGGACGAATGGAAGGCTCGAGGCAAGCGGGGGGCCAACCCCGGGCAAAGAAACGATTCGAGATAATGAATAACAGAGTTATTTGCCAAGGTTGTATCAGGAAATAAATTGATTTTGCGCGTTTTATGTAGAATTTATACGGCCTCGTCTTGCCCGAAGCCTTTCTGAACCCGTGCCCCGAGCCGAGCCGATGCAGTGCACCGCGAATTGCAACACGTAGTAATGACCGTGTTTGTCGAACATCGGAGATTTTTGACCCTTCAAATTGTATATATATTGGTTTTACCCCTTTCAATTTTTCCCACTCCCGGATCATTCCAACCTTCCACTCTGCGCATTATATACGAATTTCGTATCTGACTTCTTCGACCTGTCGGGGAAAATCATCCCCATCCTGTCCATTGAATTCCGGGCCAAAAAAGAAAAACAGAACCAGTAAAATCTCTGAGCTGAGACTAAACTAATCCTGAATGTTCAGGGAAAACGGACAAATGTCCGTGAATCGACAGGTCTCTGGTCGGGAGTACCTGACTCCGCACCAGGGCGGAAATCCCGAGGCACAGAGATTATTGTCGCACTATTACATCGGCGAAACCTTCTGGTGTGGTTACGTACTGTGTGGATCTTCAGAATTGGCTGTCCGTATGTTCGCGAATCGCCAGGCATCGCTGTGTGACGGGGGGGTTGAGAAGGGGGAGCTATTCCTTTTCAGGAACACATTTCTTGTTGGTAGGCCGTTAGCTGTTTTTACATCGCCAGCAGCGGTGTGAGCGTCTGCTGTTGGGCTGCGGAGTAGTAGCCATTGACCCATCGCTATCAGCCTCTCCTGTTGCTCCGCCGTTTTCACTTGTTTCAGCCTCTCTTCAGATTATCGCAGTTCTCAGCCACCTGCATCGTTTCGGTCTTATCGCGGCCTTGTTGCGTTCATCCCTCAGTCGCTTTTCCACCACCGACAACCTTCCTCCCGCCATTCCATCGTCGAAATTTACATCCTCACCCAACATCCTGTCATAATCGTCGAAACGATTGACGCAGCGTATTCCATCCACCATCGCGCCTTATCATTCCCGTCCGTCCGTTTTAGGAACCATTATCACTCTCAACTCGCCCCTACGACCACCGTTGTTGTCCACAAGGAAGAGCAGTACGGCTAGAAGCGGTTGACAGCGGTGAACAAAGCGGCTGGTCTCCAGCGCAGCAGCAGCAGAAGTACCTCTTTGATCAGCTCAATCGTCTGTCATTGCTTGCTGATCCTTCGCTGGTTGAGTGTTCAAATTTCTGACATCATGTGGAGATTCTGCCTTTCCCGGCTACCGCCTGGTACAAGGCGTCTCGCACAGTCCGGTCGCTCAACACGTGTCGCTACTTCATCCCTTTATCATCACGCGTCACGCCACGACGACGACGTATCCACTGCGTCTTCCACGTCAGCAGCGCATCATGACGCGTCAGCGCATCTGCAGAGTTCTCAGCCGCCCTATTCCTCCCTCCAGCAGTTGCTGCCGCACTCTCGCCAGCCTTATTCTCATCAGCCGTTTTCTCGTCAGCCGCCTTTTCAGCCACACCAGCGGCGGTGGTTGTCAGACTCAGCTGGTCAACTCGAGATTCCGAAAGAGAAGGTGGGAAAACGATAGTCTCGCTCTCACTCACATACATGTTGGAGTCTTAGCTGGTCTACTTTAGGATTGCGCCATCTCCCACTATTTCTGACCGCAAGCTCAGTGCCTCCTCCCTCCTCACTGCAGCTCTTCTCTATGGTGCTGGTGGCGAACAGGGGGGATATCAGCCTCTCGAGTATGCACCTCACTTCCCTCACCTCACCCCTCACCCCTTTCCCCTCACTGCAGCTCTTCTCCAAGGTGCTGGTGGCGAACAGGGGGGAGATCGCATGTTGAGTCATGAAGACGGCGCGGGCACTCTGAGGGATTCTCAGATTCATGCGTTTTACACCTTTTTCAACACTCCCCCTTCACTGCAGCTCTTCTTCAAGGTGCTGGTGGCGAACAGGGGAGAAATCGCTTGTCGAGTATGCACCTCACTTCCCTCACCTCACCCCTTCCCCCCTCACTGCAGCTCTTCTCCAAGGTGCTGGTGGCGAACAGGGGGGAGATAGCATGCCGAGTGATGAAGACAGCGCGGGCACTGGGCATTCGCAGTGTGGCCATCTACTCCGAGCCGGACGTGGAGAGCCTGCACGTGCGCATGGCGGATGAGGCGGTTTGTGTGGTGAGCCCTACTTGCCTGCCTGCTTGCGTGCCTCCATGCCTGCATGCCTGCCTGCCTGCCTGCCTGCGTGTCTGCCTGCTGTCTGTGTTCGAGGTGCCTCAAAAGGTATTCGCAGAGTGGCCATCCACTCCGAGCCAGACCTGCACGTCTGCATCGCAAAGGAAGTTTGTTGTGGGAGAGCCATGCTTGCCTGCCTGCCAGATATTTCTTTATTTTCTCGACTGTTTCGTGTGTAATATGTAGCATAGACATTTATATTGATATTTATGCCTGCAAGTCAGCTGCACATGACAATTTCCAGCACTGCCGCCTCGCTTGCTTGCTCTCGCTCTTTCCGTGCCGCTACTTCATCTTCTCAGTCTCGCGTGCCGTGGCTCCTTTCCTTCCTCTAACCCCCACATGTTACTCGCTCCATTCCCGTCATGCTTTTGTTGCTTTCTCCTCGTTCAATCCGTCTATCTCTCTCTCCTTCCCCACCTGCACCCCCTTCCCGTCCTCCACCCACTCCCCTCTCTCCGTGCCAGGGCCCAGCACCGGCAGCGCAGAGCTATCTGAATACGGATGCTGTGCTGGAAGCGATCAGAAGCACAGGGGCTGACGCGGTGAGTGTCTCAAGCATGTATGTGTGCCCGTTCTGAACTGACTGCACTTAGGAACAACAGGCAGCGCAGAGCTATCTGAACACGGATGCTGTGCTGGACGCGATCAGAAGCACAGGGGCTGGTGCGGTGAGTGCTGCATGCGCTCATGTAGTCGTTCCGTCCTGGTTGAGCGTGTTTGTGGAGCATTTGGGAGGAGAGCCCATTGCTGGCCGCCCCTCTCACTCACTCAATTGCCTCTCGCACATCCTTGCTTCTGGCCCTTCTATTCCGTCCCACCTCCAGGTGCACCCGGGCTATGGCTTCCTGTTAGAGAACGCCATGTTTGTGGAGCGGCTGGATGAGTAGTTCTTGCATCAATGGTTCGTGTTTACTGGTTCTAACGGTCCTTCTCGACTCTTTCCTTCCCCAGGTGCACCCGGGCTACGGCTTCCTGTCAGAGAACGCCATGTTTGTGGAGCGGTTGGATGAGGAGGGCGTGACGTTTGTGGGGCCCAATCTCAACGCCATTGACGCCATGGGGGATAAGGTGAGGTGGGGTGGTGTTGATGCCATGGGGAATAGGGTGGGGTAAGGTGGGGTAAGGTGGGGTGCTGTTACGGGCACTGTGATAATAGAAATGTGCCGTGGTTCTAGTTAGAAAATCTCCAGACATTCACCCCTCCCTGCCCCCCCTTCGCCTCCATTCCCTCCTTCCGTGTTTCACTGGTCCTTATGCCTCTCCCCTTGACCTCTCTCTCCATCGTTATCCCGTCCCACCCTGCCTGCCCCTCGGTCCAGATTCACAGCAAGCGGCTGGCGAAAGAGGCCAAGGTGAACACAATTCCGGGGAAGGAGGACGTCATTAGGGACGAGGACCATGCGGTTGAGATCGGTGAGTGATCAAAGAACAGATCTTGCCCCGTGAAGGAAGAACTCGCTGGTGAGATTGGAGAAAAGAAAACCATAATTCTTTCTTCATCCTTCATCCTCCCCTTCCTGCCCCTATGATGGCCATATTCTGAAAGCTGACTTCTTCTATAGCAGCCAAACCACCATCTCTACGTTTATTAAAGGGATCTGCTTGGGCTAAACTAAATGCTGGTTTGACTCCCGTCCTTACCATCGTGCTCAATGCTCCAGCCCGTCCCGTCCAAACGCCGATCCTTTCACGCTGCCATCCCCGCCTTATGCCTTATCCTTCTCTCACCGCCCCGGGAGCCCCCATTCTGCCACCACTCGTTCCCTGTATTCTCTCTTCGTCTCTCTCCTTCAGCGCAAGAGGTCGGCTTCCCAGTCATGCTCAAGGCGTCGGGTGGTGGAGGAGGCAAGGGTATGCGCGTTGCATGGTGAGTGAGGGGCGTAGGTTTGATTTCATGATGAAGGGTGCGGGTGGGGTGGTTAGTTAGGGGTGGAGGTGGGCATAGTGAGGGATGGGGGTGATATTTTCAGGCGAATTATCGCGTGCCACACAGTTTCTGAGGTTTTCCCTCTGTCCCCATCTCCCTCTTTTCCTGTGAGTGCAGGAACGAGAAGGAGGTGCGGGAGCAGTTCAGTGTGTGCAAGGCGGAGGTCGCATCCAGCTTTGCAGACGACCGAATCTTTGTGGAAAGGTATGTCTGTGTGCACGCATCTCCTCAAACATCCCATCGTGCCGAGTGTTGAATAGAATATTGCCTCAAAAGGCGTCTAGAAAATAGTAAGTTTTGAGATTTCTAAAAATTCTCGCAGGGAAATGAACCACAGTGCAACATCCTGTCCGCCCTTCTTTTCCCTGGTACGACCTGCTTGGGCAGGTTCATAGACAAGCCAAGGCACATCGAAGTGCAAGTCATGGGTGATAAGCACGGCAATGTGGTGCGTACCGCTTCTTGATCCTCCTACTCCTCCCGCCCCCGCGCTTGTCATCTGTGCTCGTTTAAAAACCATTCCTCTCTCTTTATTTTAACACTTCTTCCGTTCCGCCAACCAAGCAAGGTTGTTTGGCTGTGTCTAAAACATGGTGTGTATGAGTTGGTACTTGCCCTTGCCGTTGCAAGGCCGCTGACTGAGGCAGCAGCGTCTTCCGCGTGTCCCTCTGACCCAACTGTTTACTGAATGTCTGTTCACTCTTTGGCCCCGTGTTCGTTCTGTGTTGTCGTGTGCGGGTGACGTGTTGTGTGTGCGGTGTCGTGTCGTGGTGTGGTGTGTGCCTTGTTGGTTGTTCCAGGTCTGGTTACCAGAGAGAGAATGCTCCATACAAAGGAGAAACCAGAAGGTGTGTTCAATGGTGAAGACAAAGGTTGGAATTTAAAGCGTAACCAGAAGTTGCATGAAATGGTGAAACCAAAAGATGTGACCACGCAAAGAAGCTTTCATAGCATAGCATGTTGTAACCGCTCACTAACACACCTGCACAACCCCCTCCTCCATTCCCCCCACCTCTCAACCGGCAGGTGATAGAGGAATCGCCCAGCATGTTCCTGGACGAGGCAACGAGGGAGGCCATGGGCGGGAGGGTATGGGTATACGGTTATCTCGCTGCTCCCTTGCACAACCCCACCCTCCAATTCTCTCTCAACTCTTGATTGCCAGGTGATAGAGGAATCGCCCAGCACGTTCCTGGACGAGGCAACGAGGGAGGCCATGGGCGAACAGGCCGTATCGCTGGCCAAAGCAGTCAACTACGACTCTGCTGGTATGTGTGGAAATGGAAAGGGTGGGGCGGGGGGTGGGGGACGGGGAAGGGAAGAGGCGTTGAACTTAGCGTGTTACATGCAGTGTCTCTGGCCAAACCAGTCAGCTACGACTCTGCTGGTACGGTTTGAACTTCTCCCTCGAGATAAACACCACACCACACCACACCACACCACACCACACCAAACCAAACCACACCACACCACACCACACCACACCACACCACACCACACCACACCACACCACACCACACCACACACGCCGTGCCACCTGCTCTTACCCTCCCCCTGCTGCTCCCCTCTCTTCCCGCCCCACTCTGCCCCTCCTCCACGCACCGTGAAGTTCCTAGTGGACGCGCACGTCTGCAGGTGGAGCATCCGGTCACCGAGTGCGTCACACAGTTGGACATATCTCTCCTCTGCTCCCCTCCCTCTCTCCTCTTGTATCTAGGCACTGTGGAATTCCTGGTGGACGCACAACGGCTTTTTTCTGGAGATGAACACGCGTCTGCAGGTGGAGCATCCGGTCACGGAGTGTGTCACGGGGCTCGACCTCGTGCACCTCATGTTCCACTCTGCTGCCGGCCATCCTTGCTTCATAAGAGAGAGGAGCGCCCCGCTGCCCCAGATAACCACACACCGTGCTGCCTGCCCTTTCCCCCCCCTCCCTGCTCTCTGCCTCTGCTCCCACCAGGGACTGTGGAATTTCTCGTCGATGCACAGAGGAATTTTTTCTTTCTGGAGATGAACACGCGTCTGCAGGTGGAGCACCCAGTGACGGAGTGCGTCACGGGGCTCGACCTCGTGCACCTCATGTTCCACTCCGCTGCCGGCCATGCGCTGCCCATAGATCAGGACAGGGCGCGGAAGATCAACGGGTGGGCGCTGGAGTCACGGGTTTACTGCGAGCATCCCTTCATGAACTTCCTCCCGTGAGTCACCTGTCACAAACCTCACAAACAAAGTCGCTTGTCCTCTTAACACCACCCCAAATACTCCATGCTTGTACCCTGGAAGCCCAGGGGGGTGCATCTCACAACACTGCATCACGTTCCCTCCTTCCTCCCCCTCCCCTTTCTCACCTCCCCTCGATTTCCTTTTCTCTCGTTGTCTCGCCTCCCCCCACCAGGTCCACGGGCAAGCTGCGCAGGTACCGCGAGCCCAAGGAGGTGCACCTCCAAATAGTGCATGCTTCTTTCCCCTCATCCGCTCCTCGTTTTCTCTCATTCTCACATCCTTCCCGCGCCTCCCCCCACCAGGTCCACGGGCAAGCTGCGCAGGTACCGCGAGCCCAAGGAGGTGCTCAGGGAGGTGCACGTCCAGCCCCTGCATGCGTTTCCCCTCTCATCCTCTCCTCATCCTCTCCTCTTTCTTTCATCGCCTCCACCAACCAGGTCCACGGGCAAGCTGCGCAGGTATCGCGAGCCCAAGGAGGTGCGGAAGCCAAATGAGATCGTGAGGCTGGACACCGGGGCGGTGGAGGGGCAGTACATCTCCATGTACTATGACCCTCTGCTGTCTAAGGTATGTGGCCTGTGAGTCGAGTCAAATGGTGTCAATTCTGAGTGGTGTCACTTTTAAGTATTTCCAGACGTTGAGAATGCTCCATGTATGTGAGGACACACGCGTGGCGGAAAAAGTATGCTACCTGCGCAGGCGTGGCGGAAGGGCAGTACATCTCCATGTATGAGAATGGACGCCCATCATCTTTCAGAGGCGCCTGTTTGATTCAAATAAGAAGTATGCGAGTCCATGCTGTCTATTTTCCCAGCAGCACGCCTTGGACTGGACTGTCACTACATGTGCTGTTGGTTTTTGAGTCGACTCAAAAATAAAAAGTATGCTAGTCCATGCTGTCTATTTTCGCAGCACGCCTTGAGACTGTCACTACATGTGCTGTTGCGACAGTGCGGGGGCCCTTCAACAACACCCCCTTCCTTCCGTTTTGCACACGTTTTGCCCGTATATCCCACCCCACGCACCCAACCAACTGATCACGTGGGGACCAACCAGAAAGGACGCCCTACAGTCCATGCTGCTGTGCGTCTCCCCAGCATTCCCTTGACTGCTACTATGTGTGCCGTGCCGGCCCCTGAACAGCACCCACCTCCTCTTTGCACGCCTGTTCCCCATCCATCCCAACCCAACCCAACCCAACCAGCTGATCACGTGGGGTCCAACCAGAAAGGACGCCCTCGAGACCATGAAGGTACGCGCGCCGATTCTTGTAACGCATTTCAGAGACGCCTCTCTTAAGGCGTTGCAGGGAGTTTTTGAGAATTCTCAAAAACTCCCTGTTTCAGAGACGCCTCTCTTAAGGCGCCTTGCCTTGCCTCAAAACCGCAAGACATGAGATGATTTTTGAGGCGCCTCAAAAGGACGCATGCAGGTACAGCGCCCATGCTTGTGACCTGCTGTAGAGACGGTCTCTTTTCTCGCTTTGTGACAGGAAACACACTTAGCCTCTACCGCGCACACGCTGATGTATTTCGACAGCCTTGCACGGCCTGGACAGCCTGTCACCAACGAGCTGAGAAGGTCGACAGCGGTAACATGTTTGCCTGGAGGAGTATATGGTAGCTTATGTTTTTTTTAGGCGCCTCAAAAGACATGTTTGCCTGGAGTAGTATAATGGTAGCCTATGTTCACATATTCCAACCAACATGCCTTAGTCGCTGTTTCCATGAGCTATTTTTCCGCTTTGTCTCTTCTTTTTCTCTTTCTGATCCTCCCCAGCACGCCTTGGACCGTTACCATGTGTGCGGGCCGTTCAACAACATCTCCTTCCTCGTCGTGTCTCTCGTCTCTCATTACTCTTCCCCCCTGCTTCACCACCTTCTCTCCCCATCCCCTCCTTGTATCTCCACAGCACGCCTTGGATCGTTACTATGTGTGCGGGCCCTTCAACAACATCTCCTTCCTCGTCGTGTCTCTCGTCTCTCATTACTCTTCCCCCCTGCTTCACCACCTTCTCTCCCCATCCCCTCCTTGTATCTCCACAGCACGCCTTGGATCGTTACTATGTGTGCGGGCCCTTCAACAACATCTCCTTCCTCCGCTGCATCTTCTCACAGCCGGTATACCGCATGCACTTTGCCGCTCTGCTGCCCGCATGCACCCCACTCTTTATAACGTCTGTGCTGGTTTTCTCATGCAAGGTTGTCAGGCAAATCTCCCTGACACGCTGCCAGGGAAAGCCCTCAGAGATGCCATGCTTTTCGACTCCTCCATTACTCTGTTTCTAGGTGCCTTGTACCTCAATACTCAAAAACCCCCTCGTCGCCCGTGGCCCTTGCATTGTCCCTCTGTGCTCTCTCCCATTGCCCCAGGCGTTTGAGTCGGGTGATATCAGCACCAAGTTCCTCGACATCCATTACCCGAATGGCTTCACGGACGACAGGCTGACGCCCAGAGAGGAGGTGAGAGAGTTGGGAGAGGTGGAGTGGGTGGAAGCAACTGGTGTTGACTGAGTAGGTGTTTGCTAGCAGTGAGCACCAGATTCCTGAACATCCAATACCCGCATGGCCTCATCACCCCCCTTCCCAACTTCTCTTCCTGCCCTCATCCCCTCCTCACCTGACACACACAGAAAGAAGTTGCAACCATTGCTGCCTTTCTTGAAATAGTCAAGTCCCGGAGGTCTCTGCTAGCTGTCAACCATCCTCAGCCTCCCTTCTCCTTCTCATCCTCCCCATCCTCCACTCATCTCCCCTCCTCACCTGTCACTCACAGAAAGAAGTGGCGGCCATAGCAGCCTTTCTCGACATTGTCAAATCCCAGAGGTCACTGGTAGCTGTCAACGCTGCCGCCCCCGGCACGCCTGGCGCAATAGGAAACGGACACCTGGCGCACGCTGGTTGGGCGGAGGAGGAGGGAGAGGGGGAAGGCGAGGAGGGGGAGGAGGATGGGGGGGAGGGGTTGAGGGGAAAGGCGGAGCTGGTGGTGAGTTCGGATGGGGAGGAACATGCAGTGGTGGTGCGGCATTGGAGCAATGAGAAGAAGCCACACCTCTGTGTTGCAGTGAGTGCCACTCTGTTTCTTGTGTTGCTGTGAGTGCTTCTCTGCGTTGCTGTGTTATTGCGAGTGTCTGTAGGCTGTCTTGTGCTCTTCACCTGATGCTCTCTTGGGGAAAGGCGGAGCTGGTGGTGAGTTCGGATGGGGAGGAGCATGCAGTGGTGGTGCGACATTGGAGCAATGAGAAGAAGCCGCACCTCTGTGTTGCAGTGAGTGCCACTCTGTTTCTTGTGTTGCTGTGAGTGCTTCTCTGCGTTGCTGTGTTATTGCGAGTGTCTGTAGGCTGTCTTGTGCTCTTCACCTGATGCTCTCTTGGGGGAAGGCGGAGCTGGTGGTGAGTTCGGATGGGGAGGAGCATGCAGTGGTGGTGCGACATTGGAGCAATGAGAAGAAGCCGCACCTCTGTGTTGCAGTGAGTGCCACTCTGTTTCTTGTGTTGCTGTGAGTGCTTCTCTGCGTTGCTGTGTTATTGCGAGTGTCTGTAGGCTGTCTCGTTCTCTCGTTCGCATGATGCTCTCTTGGGGGAAGGCGGAGCTGGTGGTGAGTTCGGATGGGGAGGAGCATGCAGTGGTGGTGCGGCATTGGAGCAATGAGAAGAAGCCGCACCTCTGTGTTGCAGTGAGTGACTTTCTGCATTGCTGTGAATCTTTCATGTCCCCATACCCCATGCCCCATACCCCATGCCCCATGGCCATGCCCCATGCCTCATGCCCTATACCCCATGCCCCATTGCCCATGCCCCATACCCCATGCCCCATTGCCCATGCCCCATACCCCATACCCCATGCCCCATGCCCCATACCCCATGCCCCATTGCCCATGCCCCATACCCCATACCCCATGCCCCATGCCCCATACCCCATGCCCCATGCCCCATGCCCCATACCCCATGCCCTATGCCCCATGCCCCATGCCCCATTCCGTATGCCTCATGCCCCATGCCGTACCCAATGCCACATGCCCCATACCCTATGCCCATGCCACATGCCCCCTGCCCCATGCCCCATTCCTCATGCCCCTTTCCTGCTCCGATGATCCCCTGCTTCCCGGCAGGACATAGAGGTGGGAGGGGAGGTGATTCGGGTGGAGGAGGCGGTGCCAGTGGGCCTGGGGCGAGGGGTGGTGGATATCCGTGTGGATGGGGAGGTGACTATCGAGTCGACTCAAAGGTTTCCCCATGTATCCCATGCCCCCCCGCTCCCTTGCTCCCCGGCTGGCAGGACATAGAGGTGGGCGGGGAGGTGATTCGGGTGGAGGAGGCAGTGCCAGTGGGGCTGGGGCGAGGGGTGGTGGATATTCATGTGGACAAGTATGTGACCTTTGATTCGACTCAGAAGTCTCCCCACGTATCCCCATGCCCTCATATCGAGTCGACTCAAAAGTCTCCCCATGTATCCCATGCTCCCTTGCTCCCCGGCTGGCAGGACATAGAGGTGGGCGGGGAGGTGATTCGGGTGGAGGAGGCAGTGCCAGTGGGCCTGGGACGAGGGGTGGTGGATATCCGCGTGGATGGGGAGGACACGGTTTGTATGGTCATGGAGAAACACGCTCGGGGGTTCAAGCTCGTCTACGAAGGTTGCACCAAGGTATGTTCTCCGCGCCTCAAAGGCAGTGCAGGTAGGGCTGGGGGGGGGGGGGGGGGGGTGGTGGATATCCGGGTGGATGGGGAGGACACCGTGTGCATGGTCATGGAGAAGCATGCGAGAGGGTTCAAGCTCGTGTATGATGGCTGCACCAAGGTATGCTCTCCTGTGTGTGTGTGTGTGTGTGTGTGTGTGTGTGTGTGTGTGTGTGTGTGTGTGTGTGTGTGTGTGTGTTTAGATTTACAACACATGGTATGCACTCTGTGGTAGAATCCTATGATTTTCTCCTGCTCCTTATCATTCCCTCCTCCCCCATTCCCCGCAATGCTCCCTTTCTCCTCTCTCACCGTGGCGACCACTACAGGACGAGGTGCTGGTGCATCAGAAGAAGGTGGCTCCTCTACAGAAGTACATGCCGCCTAAGAAGGTTCAAGACGTCTCCAAGGTGCGATATCCAATCTTGCGTGTGCCTCAAAGGTGCCTTACCTCTTTCCAGCCTGTCCCCAACGTACATTCTCCACCACTTTCATCCAGTCTGCCTACAGACACTTCCTTTTTCAGAGGCAATCACTTATTGTTACAACGGCCCTCTTACTCTTCTCCATGCTCGTGTAGCCACCCATGCACTTTCCTGACCTTTCTTCCTCCCTTTTCTCCTTCCCATTCTTCCTTCAACTTTGTGTTCTTGCAGATGGTCAAGGCTCCTATGCCTGGTGCAGTGGTTGCAATCGGTGTCAAGCCAAACAAGAAGGTGAGCGAATCTGCTTTGTTTTCAAGTCTATATACATGGAAAGCTATGCTGCTGTCAACCACAGGTATGTGCAGTAATTTCCACGCACACAAGGCAATCATTCTCACTCGACCTTCCCTTCCCTCATCCAACAGGTGCTTCCTGGCGATGAGTTGATAACGATTGAAGCCATGAAGATGCGCAATGTCCTGCGTGCTGAGGAGGCGGCCACTGTAAAGGCTGTGTATGTAAAGGTCGGGGCATCTGTGTCGTTGGGTGAGACCATGATCGAGTTCGAGTAAATTCTGTTCCCTTGGGAACAGGTACTAGTGATACATTGAAGCTGTGAATGTTGAAAACATTAGCTCGAGAATGTGCCATTTTTGGGAGCAGGTGGAGCAGTTGTTACAACAATGACCGCGTGTCAACGATTTTGACGAGTGAAAAAAGGGCAGCAGTTATAGCAACTAAAATATATGTAGATATACGGATTGGATTGTATTGCATCTGAATGTAAACTTAACTTTACCGATATAGTTGTTTGGAGGTGTAGCTTGTTATCAGAGTTCAGGGCAGGCGGTGGCATACCAACACTCGCGAGAAGATCGAGGTTTGCAATTTCTGCTTCATTCTGCCACCACTTCTCCAGTTTCTCTTAGCTAAAAGTGGTGTACTTTCAATTAACCAGTTCGCACTTGATCGCACAACTCCCCTTGAATCATCCCTCCGCAAGCCTTCCGCGATTGGCCCCCACTACTATTCCCCGATTCCCCGCTTCTGAACCATCTTCCCCCATCTTCCGCTCCGCACTTCTCCGCCTTACCTCCCTAAGTTCGGCACTTGCTGATTCTATTGCTCTCTTGCCAGGGAGCAGATCAGGCATCCCTAGGACCTAATTGAGTCCTCAGGCCCTCTGAAGCACCCGATTCGCCATTCAGAACCTCGGTCTTCGCGACTCGAGCTTCTAACATCTGCAACCATGGCGTCCCGTTTCTGGATGCAGGTGCGCTCATAGGTGGATAGTAGACGCGCGCGTGCTGGCTGTGGATGAGATTTCCTGATTGCTTACTCCCTTTTCAGATGCAGACGCGCTGATCGGTAGATGGTAGACGCGTGGATGATCAATTTCTTTTGACTTAGTAGTGAGACTAAGACTGGCCAAGCTCGGGAGAATGAGGTTGTTGCAGACGATTAGTTGCGCATCGTCCGATCAGCCACATACGTCTAAACCGTCCGATTAACTCGTAGTCCACGTGTAGATCGATCGCGAATCTGGTGGTATGCCGTTTGAACCTGAAAACTACATGGAGATCGACGGTGATTTTTGCGTAGACGTCTAGACCTGGAAATAAAAGTATCGAAATTCGATATTATTATCAACCATCCAGGAGCGGATGTGTTGGCCCGTCTAGAATCAATCGGCTTGACAGCGAGTTCGATGAACTCTACCACGCTTAGCGTAAAATGAACCCTAATTTTCCGTTTCATGTTTCGTATTTTTCCACTGAGCTTCCCCGCACGCGTTCGATCAGTCAATCGGAGGAGGAGGAGGAGGAGACTGTTACGTTTAGTAGTGAGATGTTTGGAGGAGGGGGAAGTCGTAAAGGAGTAGTCATTGGATAGGGGGGAGAAGTCAGAGGAGGTTCGAGGATGAGCAGAGGATGAGTCGGGGGAGTAGGGGAAGGAGGAGAAATATTAGGATAAGTTGTCATTGACATGTTGAGTCATTTTCCCACCACATCCTCTTGCAGTCTGACAGCGAGTTCGAGGAGGAGGTAGAAGTTGAAGAGGAGCAGTCGGAGGAGGCGGGAGGAGAATCCTGTTACTGAAACCCTAACTTTGGATGCTTCAATTTCCACCAACTCTCTGTGCAGTCTGACAGCGAGTCGGAGGAGGAGGAGGAAGAAGTCGAAGAGGAAGAGTCGGAGGAGGAAGAAGACGAGGCCCCCAAGGCCGCCGGCGATGCCGGGCGAGCGTCGATCTACCTGCGACAGGGCGACAGCGACAGCGAGGACAGCGACGATGGTCGCGCGCGCGTCGTTAGGCCAGCCCGCGAAAAGCGGTACGACGAGATGGTGTCGACGGTGGAGCAGATTAAGAACCAGATGAAGATTAACGACTGGGTCGCTCTGCAGGTACGGATTCTCCTCGAAATTGGTTTTCTCTGCCTGATGTTGCTGGTTTTTTAAGTCGGCGCGTTCAAGAAATAATCCTCTAGCAGCTTGCATTCAATTCTGGGATCTAGGGTTTCGCAATTTACGGTTGACTTTGTTTGGACTGTGAATCGTGTTACGTTGTCACTATAGCTTGCCATGGCAATCGAGCCTCTGCCAATCTCTCGCTGGTATTCGCAGGCGAGATTCGAGAAGCTGACAAGTAGCTGGGAAAAAAAGTGTTTGTGGATTTGTATATTCTGACCGCCGCGGCCTTACATCCAGGGCGCTGTGCTCCGGGAAGTCCGCTTCTCAATCTCCGCCGCTGGTACATTGCGTTGTTCCTCATCTATTCCTCTTTTACTCCTCTTTTTGCCCTATTTGCAGGAGAGCTTTGAGAAGCTGAACAAGCAGCTGGAGAAGGTGCTTCGCCTGATCGAGTCCTCCGTGGCCCCGCGGCCGTACATCAAGGGCGTGGTGCTCCTGGAAGACCACCTAAACTCCTCTCTTTTCCTTTGCCTTGCCCGTCTTTCACGACTCTCTTTTGCACTATCCGCAGGAGAGCTTTGAGAAGCTGAACAAGCAGCTTGAGAAGGTGCTTCGCCTGATCGAGTCCTCCGTGCCCCCGCGGCCGTACATCAAGGGCGTGGTGCTGCTCGAAGACCACCTGAACGCCGCCTTGACGAACAAAGAGGCGAAGAAGAAGATGAGCAGCAGCAACGCCAAGGCTCTGAATTACATGAAGCAGAAGCTGAAGAAGAATAATAAGCTGTACGAGGCCGTTATTGAGAAGTTCCGGGCGAGTCCTGAGTCGGAAGAGGAGGAGGAGGACGACGACGAGGAGGAAGAGGAGGATGAGGACGAGGAGGAGGATGAGGAGGGGGTGGAAGATCCATTGGATAGAAAGGGAGGGGATGAGGAGGAGGAGGGAGGGGAAGGGTGGGAGACGCAGAAGAGCAAGAAGGACCGGGCGATGGAGAAGCAGTTTCAGAGGGATCATAGCGAGATTAAGTGGGAGGAGGTGAATCAGAAGCTTAAGGAGATAATTGCGGCTAGGGGTCGCAAGGGGACGGATAGGGTGGAGCAGGTGGAGCAGCTGACTTACCTGGCTAAAGTTGCAAAAACCCCTGCGCAGAAACTGGAGGTGATGATGCAGGTGGTGTCCGCGCAATTCGACGTTTCGACGAACCTTCACCTGCATCTGCCCGTCCCCGTTTGGAGGAAATGCGCGGAGAATATAATGACGATTCTCGACATTCTCGAGGGGAACCACAACATCGTTCTGGACGAGAATTACGAGGTGGTGGAGGACGATAACGAGACGCAGAAAGGCGCGGATTTCGAGGGGAAGATCCGGGTGTGGGGATCGGTTGTGTCGTTTGTAGAGCGTATGGATGACGAGCTGTTTAAGAGCCTGCAGTGCACGGATCCGTACACTAAGACGTACTTAGAGCGGCTTAAGGACGAGCCGACGCTGCTCGCGCTGGCGCAGAACGCGCAGGCTTACTCGCTGCGCGTGGGCGACACCAAGGGCGCGTCGCGCGCTGCTCGTCGCTTGTGCGAGCACATCTACTACAAGCCTCAGGTTAGCCTTCTAACGGGTAGCTTTCTAACGGGTTAGCCTTCTTCTGGGTTAACTTTCTGTCCGCTATTGTGGTGTCACAATGCGCGTCCCTGGTCGATTGTGTTTACCACATGTCTCCGGTAACCCATTCCCTTTCATCTCTCCCTTCCTCTCTCCCTCGTTCTTCTTTCTCGCCCACCAACCCCCCTGCCGGCGCCCTCCTCCCTCCCCACCTTCGTGCTTCAATCTTGCGTCTGAATTCGTGCTCTTAGATTAGGGTTTTCGTTGTCCTTTTTGGTAGCACAGTTCTGCCTTCTGCTTTCGATCTCGCGCCACTCCCCTCCCGCTCCCCCCTTCCCCTCCCTCATCCCCTCGTCCCTGCACTGTCCCCTCCCTTTTTCGAGCTCTCTCGTTTTCCCCTTCCTCCCTCGTTCTTCCTCTCCCTCCTCTTTCATCTCAACCACCTCTTTCCTCCCCTCCTGTCCATATCCGCATGCCATCGCTCCCCATCGCTCGCCACGCACTCCCTCGCTCCGCATCGCTCCCCATCGCTCCCCATGCACCCTCTCGCACCCCCTCGCTCCCCATGCACCCCCTCGCTCCCCATCGCTCCCCATCGTTCCCCACGCACCCCCTCGCTCCCCATCGCCCCCCATGCACCCCTCGCGTCCCCACAGAACGTGTACGCAGCTCTGCGCCTGATGTCGGAGCAGCAGCAGCAGGCAGCGGCGGCCGCCGCCGCCGCCGCCGAAACCCCCGCGGACGCCGCCGCCGCCGCGGGCGACGAGGACGCGTCGCCAGACGACGAGCCGGAGTCCGCCGCCGCGAAAGACGCCAAGCGCCGCGCCGCGATCGCGGTGAACTCGTACGGGCCGCCCGCGTTCATCCCGACGCCAGAGGCGGTTCCGCGGTGGCCGGTTTTCCCGGAGAGCGGGCGCGCGATGATGAAGGCGCTGCTGGCGGTGGTGTACGCGCACGGGGAGGAGCGCAGCAAGGCGCGCGCGATGCTGTGCGACATCTACCACCACGCCATCAACGACGAGTACCACACGGCGCGCGACCTCATGCTCATCTCGCACCTCCAGGTAGGGTTTTAGAAGAAGAGGACGATTGCGAGCGTTTCAGCGGGTTTACTGGGGTTTTAGGGGGGTTTGTAGTGGGTATGAAGCTGCTGGGGGTGGGGGGTGCGGAAAGGGGGCGCGCGCGGGCGATGATGAAGGCGCTGCTGGCGGTGGTGTACGCGCACGGGGAGGAGCGCAGCAAGGCGCGCGCGATGCTGTGCGACATCTACCACCACGCCATCAACGACGAGTACCACACGGCGCGCGACCTCATGCTCATCTCGCACCTCCAGGTAGGGTTTTAGAAGAAGAGGACGATTGCGAGCGTTTCAGCGGGTTTACTGGGGTTTTAGGGGGGTTTGTAGTGGGTATGAAGCTGCTGGGGGTGGGGGGTGCGGAAAGGGGGCGCGCGCGGGCGATGATGAAGGCGCTGCTGGCGGTGGTGTACGCGCACGGGGAGGAGCGCAGCAAGGCGCGCGCGATGCTGTGCGACATCTACCACCACGCCATCAACGACGAGTACC